TTGGCGTTTTTTACCACCGGCCACTTGTTTTTTACGAACATTCCGTTTCCAACGCAGAGGATTTGATTTCCTTTTTTTACCTGGGAGTTTTTGATTATCTGACTCACTTTCAGAATTATCTGTTTCGTTGTCAGTTGGTCCGTATGTTTTATCATTGATAGAGTCATCAGACTCCAAGCATAAATCCGCGTGATCTACCTCTTCTCTATCTTGCACTACAATTGCCATACTTTGAGGACTACAGGTAATGGGTAAAGCAGTCTGTAAAATGATTCCATTTTCTGAAACTAAACAAAAAAATATTATGATTCAAATAGGAAATTGTGAAGTATAAATAAATATACCTGTTGTTGAGACAAGTTCTACAACATTTTGTGTATTAAGACTTGTGGATCCATGATTCAGTGTTGATATTGTACCATTAGTGTAATTTCCATCTAAGGATATGGGCAAATTGATTTCTAAAAATTATAAAACATGTACATATTTTATTTATTTACAAAAACCGAAATAATTGTGTTATACCTTTGCTCGAAACAGATGGCGAAACATTGTCTATAACAACTTCGCAAGATACAGGTGAGGCAATTTTAACATTAGAAATAATTTTAATAGGCATATTTTGGTTTTTTGTACCTTCATCAAGATCGCCGACTTTTCCTAAAACATAATTACTGTTATCCTAATTTAATAACTACATTTAATATTTAAGTTATAAACCGAATTATGGAGTTAATACAGTCTGTCGGTCTTAAAGTAATTATTGTGTACTAAGTCCATTTTTAATACAAGGATTTTCGGTTAAAATACCACGTAAAATCGCCCAAATATCTAAATACGTATTAAGTTTTTATGTAATATTGAAGGCTAATAATTTTTTATTTTAAATAAATTTGTTAAGACGTACCTATTTTGAGGTTAGATTTATTTATCGCCGACGAAGAGGATAATGCTTGATTGTTTTCCACAGAATCAGTACTGCATTGCGTCGGAGAAGTAAAGCATACCTCTTGATGCTTTTCTAAAGCTTTTTTCACAATTTTATCTGCTCTGGTACACATTCTTTAGAATGTTATTAAACACACACCATCAATGTGAAATAGCATAAACACACTGACTACAGTGCCACACCGCGGTTTTACGTCGTTCCGTGGAGTTAATACATCTTAAATGTGCATGTGATATTAACTCCACTAATACTACTAATAATACTTACATTGCTGGGTATTAAGTGTAAACGACTGTTTAGCTCGGAACTACTGAGGGACTTAATACACTTTATGGTTGCTTATCTTTGAAACTACATTAAATAGGATTTAATATCGTATTGCATATGAAAGATGTGAAGTCTGTTATGTAGAAAGTGAAATAATACAATTTTTCAAAAAAATGGAGTTAATACAGTTTAGCTCTGAGGTACAGATCTGAAAGTCTCCTAATCGCCTTTTCAACGATGTATCATTTGAACATTTATTTCTACAGGGTTAACCAAAATTATATACTTAGTTAAGTGAAATGAAATCACAATAAATACTTATTCACTGAACTAAATTACACAAAGGACCGCCACACAGTGCTCCAAAATCCCTAAAAGCTGTTAATAAATGGTTGGCTGCTTACTTTGAGGCAGTATATGAATATCTATTAATAGATTTTTGACCAAATGAATATGAAAATATTGGTACCTCTAAATTGTAAAATTAATTTCATATGCTGGTAATTCTTGTAAATGGTCCTATACATGCATTTCATAATTTCATTTTGAGATTTAATATTTAATTTCGGCTGTAGTAGAAGATATTTGAATAAATTAATTCTTAAAAGTAGTAACAGCTTCACCACAAACCCCAACGGCATGACTAGAATTATGTATTCTAAAGTATGTATTACATTTACATTTTTGGCTTTATCCGTTGTTCTTTTTTAATTCCTTATATATATGGGAATCATATCTAACCATCTAAAAAGGAAGGCTTATTCCATGGCCTCTCTGAATTAAGATTTTATCGATGGCTCATTACAAATATTTACTACATACTTCTTCTTCTTCGCGTGCCATATCACAATTATTCGACGTTGGCGATCAGCATTGCGAAGGCTTTTCGATCTTCTGCAACATGGAATAATTGTCCTGAATTTGGTATCTGAGTCCATTCACAAATGTATTTTAACCAAGAAACTTGTTTTCTTCCTACACCTCTACGGCCCTCTATTTTGCCTTTAAGGATCAGTTGTAAAATTTTATATCGACTTCCCCTTTTCCCCTTACTATATGTCCCAGGTAAGACATTTTTCCGATGTTTAACAGTCTTTAGCAGTTCTCTGTCTTTGTTGACGCTCCTTAGTACTTCTTCATTAGTTTTTCTTGCTGTCCGAGGTATCTTCAGCATTCGTCTGTGAACCCACATTTCCAATGCTTCAATTTTGTTCATGATCGATACTTTTAGCGTCCACACTTCTGCATTATACAAAAGTACAGATCAAACATAGCACTTAAACCATTCTTTGCCTTAGTTCTAAACTGAGATGGTTTTTGCAAAGAAATGACTTCATTTTCATAAAAGTAGTTTTAGTCATTGCTATTCTACGTTTTATTTTTATGTCTGGATTTAGTTGGTCTGTTATCACAGTTCCCAAATATGTCATTTTGTAAACTTTCTCAACTTGGACTCCGGTCAATTGAAGCTGTGCATCGGGATGTGGGTCACGACTAAACACTAAAAATTTGGTTTTGAGTTTATTTTAATGCCAATTTCCTCTCCTACCTCGTGAATACGATCAAGCAGAAGTTAAAGACCTTCAATATTATCTGATAGAATTACTGTATCGTCTGCATATCTAATCACATTAAGTAGTTCCCCGTTGATTTGTATTCCATACGGTTGTCTCTCAAGTGCCTTTTTAAATAACTGGTCCGAGTAAACATTGAACAATGTTAACGACAAAATGCAACCTTTTCTGACTCCTCGTTGTATGGGAATTTCATCGGTGTAGTTATCTCCAATTTTTACGATAATAGTTTGATTCCAGTACAAATTTTTAATGACACGAATATCCTTGTCATCTATTCCGATATTTTTCAGTATTTGTATTAATTGTACATGCTGTAGTTTATCAAATGCCTTTTCGAAGTCACGAAACATGCAAATACATCTTTTCTTTGGTCACGGCATTTTTGTAATAGGATGTTAATCTTGGTATCTTCAAGATCTTCTTCGCATTTGCTTCTAATTCCGTTGTGAAGTATTCTTAGGAAAATTTTAAGAGTGTTGCTCATTAGGCTAATTAATCGATATTCTGAGCATTTTCTCGCATTATGTTTTTTTGGGTATTGCGATAAAGATGGATTTGAGCCAATCTGCGGGAATCACTCCGGTGTTATATATTGAATTAAAAAGTCTTACTACTACTTTTATGTTATCATTTTCTATTAGTTTCAGCAACTCAGTTGGTGTACCATCTGGACCACAAGCTTTTCTAATTTTAGCATTATTTATAGCATGTTCTACTTCGCATTTCATAATTTCTGGGCTGTCAGTACAGTTTTGGTAGAATTCGGCAATATTATTTCTGTCATCTTCAAACAACTCTGATATATACAGCTGCCATTCTTTTTTTATTTCTTGCTTATTTACAATAATTTTGTTATTAGTGTCAACAAGTACAGAGGAAACTCGTTTTTTGAATATATTACTCATTTCTTTCAGATTTTTGTGCACATTAAATAAGTCGTGTTTAGATATTACATCCCCCATTTCGTCGCACCTTTCTCTAATCCATTTTTCTTTGGCTAATTTGATCTCCTTTTTTATTCTTCTTTACAGGTGTCTATATTTTTTTACATTAAATTTTATCAGTCGACGTTGTTACATTAATTTCAAGATGTCGTCTGTCATCCAGTTATTTTTCTTGATCAAGTTTTTTATATAATCATTGTTTGTGGAGATTTCGTTAACTTGGTTTTTAAATTCACTCAATAGTTCTTCTGGATCTTCTAGTTGTTCTCCGATGTTTTTTATTCTATTGTTAAATTATTTTTTACTGTTATGTTTTATGTTAATATCGTCAAAGTTAAGTACATTGGTTTTTGGTTTTTGTGGCTGAATTCGTTTTAACCTTAGTTTAATATCTGCTACGAGTGGTTGATGATCAGATCCAATATCTGCCCCAGGATACGCAGTGACTTTTTTGACGGCATTTCGGAAACGCTCATTTACAAGTATATAGTCTATTTGATTTCTTGAAGACTCAGGGTTATTGCCATCATCAAATGGGACTTTCCAAGTGTATAGTCGTCGCTTGGGTAGTTTATACCAGGTGTTTGCAATGATCATATCGTTTTCTTTACAGAATTCATACAATCTCTGGCCTCAATCGTTAGGTTGTCCTAAACTATAAGGACCTAGAGTCTGACCTCATTGACCTTCCCCAATTTTTGCATTGAAGTCGCCTATAATATATAAAATTTCGTGTTTATTAAGTTTCTGTAAGATGATCATACAACTTGTCGACTTCATCGTCATATTTTCTATCTGTAGTCGGGGCATACAATACTACAATACATACTACATACAATATGTCAAATTATGATGAAGCGTCAATTTTATTATTTTAGTACATATTCTCATTATTTATGATTATTCTTCCTTTTCATTTAAAAAGTATGCAACCGTACGTTTATATCAGTTATTAATAATAAGTGATATGGATTTTTATGTGGTATGTTATCAACAATGATTCTTAAATAAATTTTCTCAAGCCTAGTGAATCGACTATATTGTATTTTTGGAGGTCACAGATCCATTTTGGATCCTATCTCCGTCAGGATCCGAAACATGAATCCACCACACTGCTTGGCCATCGAACCGACCATAACTATGTACCATTACTAAATGCCGGTTACGGAACTCCTTGAACAGTATAAATAGTCTTGAATAAAACGTATTGATTTAAAACATTATCACTTTAGCGTAGGTATTCATTTGTTTTATTTTTTTCAGGACCGTCTACACTAGCAAATGCTATTCTACACTTTGTAGAACAACCAACAGATCGATTTAGATTTCGGTATAAATCAGAAATGGCGGGAACACACGGCAGTCTTACCGGTATTAATTCAGACAAATCGAGAAAACCAACATATCCCACCGTAGAAGTACGAAATTGTGGTAATCTCGACAAAGTTATTATAAGATGTTCAATATATCAATCCAATGCAGATAATAAAGATTTTTTACCTCATGCTCACAGATTGATGATGAAAAGAGGGCGTGAAGAATTCGACGATCCCCATGATGTGGAAGTTGGACCTGAAGATGGATACAGAGCCGTGTAAGTAGTTTACTCATTATTTAGATTTGTTTCTAGTGATGAAACCATCATTCTTTTAAAAGTATAGGATCTAATTAAGTATTTTTTCATTACGGTTGTAAGCAATTCTTCCAACATGTCTGCTGATGTCTTTTATGTACTGACACTTCAACGACAGTTTTAAATTACTTAAACTTTAGTGTTCTTCCTTGTTCTTAGAGTCTCTGTTTACGCAGGTTAATAATAATAACACTATTATTATACTTCATTAGACAAGAAATAAGTTTGATTGTTTTAAAGACGAGTGTACAGAGACTAGTGACAAGTTACAAGTAAGATATCAGACATCAACAGAAAGAAAATGTGTTGCCAAAATACACAAAATTATAGTACTGAATTGTACAACACCTGCTCCCAATTCTACAAAAGTACAAATGAATTAAGTACACACTGTAAACAAAATTACAATAAACTGTAAAATTAAACATTAGTTTTAGAAACATTCAAACAATCTCTCAATAATTAAAATTGAGTAACAGGCAATGTCTTAGTCAGGATATCAGATAACTGTTTCATTTAAAAATTTGACATCATATTTAGAAATTTAAATAATAAAAATATCATCTACCCATGTCAAAATATAAGTTTTTTGCATTAAAATAAAAGCAAGGATTAAACTTAGATCTTTTAAATATTAAATTACATATTACAACATTACTAGACACTGGACTATTCAAAAAAGCACTTTTCACTTCAAATTGATGAATATCCTTATCACGATCTACAGCATTGATTAACAGTACCCGCAGGGTGGTTAATCTAGCTACTGGTGCATACCCGTCTTCATTGTCTAATGCTGGCTGTTGATAGCTTTTGGCCTCTAATTGAGCTCTTTTGACTAACTGAGCATCAACATTTTTCTCAATAAAAACCCATCGTAAATCAATGATTACGTCATCAGCCTTAGGTTCTACCAAATTACAGGTACCGTTGTGTTCTAACGCCAAAAGTTCCTTATCTATGGCGTCCTTCCATTCATTCTCCATCGAAACAGCTTTAGTGGAGATTTTAGGCCATTCAGAAGGTAGGCAGCCAGTAGATACAGCCATCATCATACCCACTTCATAGTCATCAAAATTAGAAGGCATACGTATATCTCTTGGATTTTTATGTTTCTCGCTTTCTTGATTACTATTAGATTGTATTACTTCAGTTTCAATTGTAACGGGGTTAGTAATAATTTGCTCATTCACACCATGTCTCATCATATGAACTGGAGATTCACTTTCACAAGTTTCATCAAATCTAACTAAACCAGATGTAAATACGTTCGTTTTAGAGGGTCCAGAGATAGTAACCATTGTCACAGTAGCCAATAAACATACATTTTCTTGATCTCTCAGCACACTTCCCAGATCGATCTTCTTCAGAAATATGTGCATAAGCATTACATCCAAATAATTTAATTTTGCTAATATCAGGTTTGTAACCATACCAAACTTATTCAGCTGGTGTAGTCACTAGGAAATGTAGTTGTAGGAGTTCGTTTTGTTAACTACACAGCAGCCAATAACAGCTTCTCCTCTAAATGACTTAAGACCGCTGTCCAAAATTAAATATCTAGATTTATCTAAAATAGTACAATTGTGTTGGATTCCATCCATTCTGCTGTGGATTCCTCTGTACAGAATATTGTATAGTTATTCCTCTACCAGTACAAAAATCTTTAAAGCTTCTAGAACTATTCTCCTCAACAGTATCACATCTCAAATACTCTATTTTCTTGTTGCATTTTGCTTCAGTTAAGGCTACAAAATTCCAAAAGCATGTTTCTTCTTCATTCTTATCTTTAATAAGCTATGACACTCCAAAATGACTGTAATCATCAATTAATGAAACATAATAATTTTTACCATCATCAGTAGGAGTGCTAATTTTTTCGCACACATCTGTGGACACATATTGAAGTAGGTGTCGAGATTTTTTATCCCTTGCTCATCAATCAATTGTGCAGTAATAATTGCAGTATTACCCCTCAGAATTTTTACTTCCTTATTTTCAAGAATCACACGAAAACCTTTTTTTCAATTTGTCTTACCAATAATTGTTCTAAGAAAGATTGTCACAAATTCTATTAAGGTTTTATCAAAATCCACCAAAAACTCACCCAAGTTGTCGTTTTCTTTAAGTACTAGGTTGCGTAAGTTTTTCTGGATTTGTACCTGAGATTGAAGTCCTGTCTTTTCGTAAATAGCTCTAAGGACTTTCATCATTGCTATGGAAGTTTTTTGGGTTTTAATTATTCCCAAAACATTAGCCCCAACTAACTCAACAGTAATATCCTTTGCAGTCGAATCATTTTTACCAAAGTAACGCCATGTCGTTCGAATGTTCTTTCCAATCGAAATTTCCACGAATTAAAACCGGCTTCATTAAATTGTTTTACATTAGCAATAAAATTTTTTTTAAACATATACGTTGGATACTTTTTGTTTCATTATCTCTTGTCCATGTTCCATTTTCTTTTCTTATTGGTGAAAGTATTGTTTTTCGTTTTTAAAATTTTTTTGTTCTTTTCCACAATGAATGATCAGTTTCTTCACCCGGGCTGAGATTTACGAGATCTGATTTTTTCTTTTTAATTTCTGTTTTTGAAAATGTTCATCTTATAGATCCTTTGATTGGTGCTACTTTCTTTGCGCTTTGCCTTTTTCTTACACAAGTTTCCTTATAGGATGATTGTTTCCCACTCTTGTGTTTTCGGAGATAATATCAGCCATCTTCTTCTTTACGTGCCATCTCCGCGATGAAGGTTGGCAATCATCATGACTATTCTGATCTTCGATGCTGCCGCTCTGCCTTTCTGTTTCTGGTGTTCTTTAGTGCCTACAATATTTCTTCCTTTGTAATTTCTATACTTGTTTCTCTGTCCTCGAAAAATATGTCTTGTAGGTTTCCTCTTTCATAGTCGAAGAGCTCTTCCATATATTCTTTTCATTGTTTTAGCTTTTCGTCAGTCGTTATCATAGTATTTCCATTTTTATCTAAAAGAATTGTGTTATGGTTTTCTTTTTGCAGCCCATTTTTCTCATAGTAAGTTTGTTTTGCCTCTCTTATCATTTTTCTAATTTCATTTAATGAATTTGTAATTGTGGCTGTCTTTGTTCTTGGTTTGTCTTCTTTGGTCCATCCTGCAGAGTATTTCGTTGGTCATCCAGTTGTCTCTCTTTCTTATCGGTTCTTTTAAATCAGCCATACATCATATAAAATGTTTTATGTAATTTATTATATGATACAAAGGCCTATATATAAATTAATGAATATATTATATGAATTGCGTTTCATTTGTATATCCGTGAATTTATTTTATGCGGTCTGATGATCCTGTACAAATTGTATATACCTAAACTAGTCATCACGAAATTTCTCCTATACACATTATTCGTATAAATTTTTATTAGCACTCTTATCCCATAAACTCACATCTTAAAATGTTATATCATTAATTTTTCTATATAATTTCGAAACGCGAGAACTTAGTATTTATACATGTTCTTTTTTAGATTTCAAGGCATGGGGATTATTCATACCGCAAAGAGAAATCTGGTATCGGAATTGTTAAGAAAAAAGATTCAACTAAAAAAAGAATATATTGCCAGAACGGAATCCAAAGTAAGAGATTTGACACAGAAGGAAATAGTAGAGGTGAGTTTTTCTGAAAACTGTACGCACCATTTTTATGATAAAAGGATTCTTTAGACTTAAGTTTAGATTTACCAAAGCTAGTTTGAAATGAGATACCAAGGTTTGAGAGAGGAAAACATGTTCAATAAGTTCTTTATTATTCAGTATAGTCCCTAAACGTCAATACACTTGTTCCAACAAGATTCAAGTTTATAAATTCCATTCCGGAAGTGGGAATAAAAAAACAAAAAGTCGCTAGAAAGCCAAATTGGGTGACTACGATGGATGCTCCAACAATTCGAACTTCAATTCGTGGATTTTATGATGAAAGGATGTTTTTCTTCTGCAAACCGAGTCTTTTTTCTGATTTTTTTTTAAGGTGGTCTAAAAGGTTAATAATATTCAGAATTTATTGATACACAATTTTTGCAAGTAATTCACAAACATAATTCACTTCGCATCCCAAAAATGGTTGCTAACACCTTGGCTGATTTCTGGACACAAACTCATTCGGAGCCGAAGGACCAGGTTTACATCACTGTTTAGCCTCTTGTTTTGATTCAGGATCATGGTGATAGACTCAAGTCTCATTCATAGTGATGAATCGAGGCAAAAAATCCACTTTATCCTTTCTAAAACACCCGAATTTGTTTTTGTTCCATTGTTAACAAATAACAAAATAGTGAACACACTTTTATTAAACCCAGTACTTCAGTTAAAATATTGCTTACACTGTCCAATTACATGCCTAGGGCTCTACTAAATCTCGTTTGTATCACTCAACGATTTTCCAATACCATATTCTATGATTTCTGATGTTGATGCCGTTTTTGTACATCCTTGACGAGGATCCTATTCAAGGCTTTTACGACCACGTTAAAATTGAGCAACTCATCTGTCTACTGTTCTATTTGAATAATCTGGCAGCTGGTACCTTCCGTTATAAGTGGAAGTGTGGATAATTGGAAACTATTCTGTTTTGTGTAAAATTTTTCGCTGAATAATTCCTCCACCATAAGTGCCTTAAGCGCTGCCTGGCTGCTGGCAATTGAACGGTGCGTTCTTTTCCACCTTTCTATTTCTTCCACGCAGTGATGGATTGTCATTATTTCCGTTTGGAAAATTGTGACATCCTTAGATAGACTTACTGGGAAATGTATCCCTAGCTTTGTTCCTACTGTACCGACTCCTACAGCATCAGATTTTTTTGAGCCATCAGTGGATCAGGTAGCTTTTAATTGTATATACCTTTCTTCCAGTCTTCCCTGCTTGGTATATTAATTTTGAATTTATTGTCAAAGCTATTTCTCGTAGTTGTTGCATCGATGGGTTTCCATAAACTATATCTGCTTTTTAGCTCATCGATTAGCTTTATATTGTTAGCACCATGCGCCTGACTTATATGCTGCTGATCATGTATTTCTGTGAATCACAGATCTGGTTTCGCCCTCTATAAAGATATGAAGTGGTGGACGGTTCAGCAAGGCTTTCAACGCCGCTCTAGTAGTTGTTTTTATGTCCACCGTAATACACAGACATGCTAGGTGTTTTACTTAGAAGTCTTATTGCTCCCACGTGCTGCGTCTTTGTCCACCACGTCACACCCCATAGGATATCATTGGTCTAATAACCCTTGTGTATAACCAAAGGGTTTTTTGGGGTTGAGTTCCCAATTTTTGCCACATCATTCTACATCTGCCCAAGGGCATAGTAGCTTTCTGTATAGTTTTCAGTATGTGAGTATTCCGTCTATGATCAAAATATACCCCTAGCTACTTTATTTCATTGGCAAACGGAATCTTTGTTCCTCCAGTACTGATGGTTTTAGGCCTTGTAATGCTGTCTTTTTTGTGAAGTTGATGATTTGTGTTTTTTTGAGCATTGACTGTCAGTCTTTCTTGTTTACATCAGTTATCAACTATATTTAGAGCTACTTGCATTCTCTCGGATACAACCTTGACGAATTTGCCCCTGACGACGACTGAAATATCGTCAGCGTATCTTAGACAGTAAAAGTATTTTGTCGACCGATTGTTGGGAAATCATCTACCAAGGTTGTCCAAACTAGAGGTGACAGAACTCCTCCTTGTGGACAGCTTCCACCCGTCCTTGCGTTAATGGTTGCTCTACCCAGAGTGGCTATTACTGTCCAATTCTCCAGGGATTGCTCTTATCCATCTGCATATTACGCAGGTGTGCCTCGTCTACTCATTGCTGTAACCACTGATTTGGTGATAACATTAAATTCCCCTTTAACTGGTAATATGCCGTCTGTCCCTGGAGAGTTTTATGGCTGAAATTTATTTATAGCCCTCTAATTCTGCTTGGTCTTGTGATTGCTGTGGCTATTTCCCAATATGTAGAACTTGACCTAGTCGACCTTTGTTCTATGTTGGTTCACCTATCTGCATCATTCAGAATTATTGAGTTCGGAAAGTGCGTTTTTACCTTCCTCTATGGTCTCCGTAAATTTACCATGAGCTTTCTTTAGGAAACCTACATACGTTTAAAGAGTAGAGATAACCGTTAACGGGCGGCTAGACACAAGGCACAAGAAGAAGATTCCAATTATTAAAAACATTATGAACGATGTCAATAAAGGTGTTTCCTTTAGATAGGTTCTTTAAAATTCCAAAAATTTAAGTAAATTAGTTTTTAATATATGAAATACTTAAAATGAATGATAATACTGGCTAGGTAATCAAAACATATTTCTATTGAATCATTTTTTAGAAAATTAACATTATTTTTTATAACTTTGTAATCAAACCACGATGTTTTAAAATTTATATGTATATGAAATACTTCGGTTACTTCTTAGTTATATCAAAGCGCGTTCTGCAATATATTTCATTTCTGACTAAAAGAAGGTAGCTATCCTTTCTAGTATACTGAAGATATCAAATTGTGGTCACGCCTTTACCCGTCCCTTTGTCAATGGTTATGGTAGAATTTATAGAATTTATACTTTAAATAGTGATTTCATCCCAAGGTATCATAAGCGTTTCAACAAATGGCATTGAGTTCAGGATCAATTTATGCTTTGTGTGTTCAACGAAGGGGAAAATAGTGATACGTAATTTGGTTTTCTCAATAATCTAGGAACAAGCTAGACATTGGTTCAGAGGTGTAGAGATGTCATTATCCTGTGTACATGTGCTTTATGAAAACATTCGACATAGAAAATTGATGGAAATTCTTGGACGAGTAGGGGTAGACGACAAATACTTAACAAAAGAATTAAACAAAATCTATACTATCATCAGCAAGCAAATGTCAGAATTGGACTAGATACTTCCGAATCAATTGAAATTTTCAGTGGAGTTAGACAGGTTACAAAACTCTGTACCATCTGGTGCCCATATTGATTTTAAATCTTCATGGTTATACTTAAATATAAATATAATTTGAGGATACTACGTAAATCTTGTGTTTATATGTTCTGCAATAATTTCCAACAAGTCGTCATTCCAAGCTTCTTAAGGGCACAGTGGTGGATTCTGTCGGATAGAACCTTTCAGTCTTGCTAAAACTTTGATGTTATAGAGATTTTATGTTGGATTGGACTTTAAACCTTTTTGGGAATTGTTTGGTCGATTTTATATAATGTTTTCAATACCAAACTGATTTTGACATGTTCAAAGTAGCTATTTTATTACTTGAAGCATAATTCGTCATCATCTCTGTCTAAGGTGTTTTTATGCAATGGTTTAACCTCAAATTCACTATCAGAGTCGTATTCACTGGAAATTTCATTATCTATTTCATCGCAGTCACTTTCACTTGTATAATTAAATAATTTTTATGCGGCTTGCTCCTAATTTTCGATTTGTTGAAGTGTATGTGTCGTTTCATTAGAATCTTCCAAATCTTTCCAGAACTCTTCACTGTTTAGAATGTCTTTCATCTCAGACAAAGTTAAATGCTTGCTTGAAGAAGTTATTTTATCTAAAACAAAAAATGATATTAAACAAATGATATAAATATTTTAAATTATTCAAGCCGTTAACATAATAATATATATCAAATAATAAAAATAGGTACATACTTTTGTAACCAACAAATATTTTCTTACTTAAATACTATAGATGGGTCACTGTGACCCAACTACGTAATTATTTCAAATTTGACAAGATCAACAAAACTGCCCACTTTGCCTTTGTATATATGAATAGGTGGACATACTGCTGCTCCACCATCAAACTTAAATGGGTAGGGCGTATTAACATTATTGCTGGGACACGCTTACCCTGTGTTAGCAGTTTTTATTGTTCCCTCATTGCTTCATAACTCCTTTTACATTTTGTTTAGTTTCTGGTTTGTTGTTGAGAAGTTTCCAGTTCTTTCATTTCTTTTCTTCTTTGTGATCTTTTCTTTCTTCTATATAACGTCTCCTCTTTACTAAGAATTTTATATGTGTCATCTTCTACCTTTTTTTTGATAAGAATTTGAAAAAATTGCATTCATTTAGTTTGTATGTAAGTTAATATCTACAATTTTATAAATTTTAAAGTGATACTGTGTATAATACTTCAAGACATACTTTGTGGTTTGATTATGGTTAACCAATCTAACATAACAAAAATAATGATAATAATTCTTAACATAAATTTTATATTTACATGTATTTTATTATTTTAAAATTAGCAGATGGTTTCATCAATTGTGTGATGAATTTTATTAATTCATTACATTACCGGTGCCCTTTACATCCACTAGAAAGTTAAAAAAGCGAATAATTTAGTTTTAAATTTCAAGGACTTGTTAGTTCTTTATTCGTATTTGTTAAAAATGTAAAAACATTTAAGATATTATTAGGTATTAAGAAGAGAGAACAGAAAAATAGATACATAAAAAAATGTTTTTATGTATTTGAACATGATCTGCTAATTTTTGTTACTTTTATATTTAGGTGGAAGAGAAAAATGCACATTTTATAAACAAAGTCGCAAAATCGTGTTAGTTAAACCATTTGTAACTCAACAACGGCTGTACTGATTTTCATGATTTTTGATTTATTA